ACCTAGACTTTCACAATGAAAAATTGGCAAAAAAAAAAAAAAAAAAATGCTACTACAGTCAAACACCAAAAATCCGCCAACCTGAAATCTGCGTTGCCTCTCAAAATATAAACATTCAGTTTATAGGTTCCAGAAACTGCAACATTGAGTACGAAACATCTAATAAAAAATACTTACCAAATAAATGACGTCAAAATCACCAAATAATAATGAGTCATAATCGAAATACCAAATTATTGACATAAAAAAAGTTTAAAAAAATAAGATAAAAGTTTCTTCCCTCTAAGCTATGCATCAAGGTGAAAAAGCAGACGATTCACTCAACTCTTCGTTCAAGTTTACGATTCACGTTGTTATATTTTCTGAGCTTTGTTATTTCACGAGATTGTTTAGTGCTGCCTTTTTTTTTTTTTTAATCCTGATATTTTGTGGATAAATTAAGAATATTTTAAATTTCAGCCCTTTTTAATACAATGACAGATAAGAAATGCACTCATTTTAATGCTTGCAACACTGAAAAACGTATACACGTTGCATTGACAGTAACGCAAAAAGTGCAAATTCTGCAAAAGACGAAGGCAGATGCTACTCCTCGATTTATAGCAGAATGGTATGGAATTGCGACATGGATTGTGTATGATATACGGAAAAAGTAAAGAAAAGCTGTTGAAAATTTTACAGCAAGACCACAGTTGTAGTGGTCTAACACCGGAATCCGAAACCAGGAAATCTTTGCATGATGCGAAATCGGCAAACCTCGATGCTGTGTACATATAATGCAATGAATATAATCAATTTATATATGTAATAATAATTTAATGCATATAAAAAATTATTGCAATAATGTATATAATAATTTAATTAAATGTATCTAATACGCCTTATTTATTTTGCACTTTTAGTCCAAATATTATGCTTTATCTTTTCTGTCCTGAAATCCACAAAATCCTAAAATCTGCACAACCTCTGGTCCCAAGCTGTGCGGATTTCTGGAATTCTACTGTATTAGGTGAGTAAATACAGTATATATATTATGCAGCTTGAAGCAAAACAAATATTACGTAGCAAAAGGAGCAAAAATAAAATTTATGCTCCTTTTGCCTCGAAAGAAGGGGTAAGACATCAAACTCTAGTCACAAGTCATTTTATTTCTAAACATATTACTAAATTATATGAAGTAGGTTCTCATATTAACAGACTTCTTTGTGTGCACTAAAACTTAAGGAGTCACCTCATTCTGCTATTTATATGCTAAATAACGCAAGTCTTCGTCACCTTTGTGGGACTGAAAGTCTTGGAATTAATCACATGATTCTGTAACATTTTTTTTTTTAATCGACCATGCCTCTTGCTTTAAATACTTATTTAGGCTAGTTTTTATAACTGTTGCATAATGCTATTTAAAAGCAGAATATTTTTTAAAGTTTTGTTTCATTCAGATATGAATACATTTTTGCAAAAACTAAATTTTCCCTCTTCGCATTTCATAAAAGGAGCTGAGATCAGGATCATTACTTTTGATGATAGCATCAATTACTTCCAATTTAACAAGAAATTTCAATAATTTTGCCCCGAAGCCACTCGTGGTAATTTAAAGTCATTTAAGCTACCTCAAAAGAAGATATCTAACTCTAACAGAAAATCATTTAATTTCTAAAAGTAGGTATTTCTAAAGTAGGTGCTTTAATTTCCGCCTATTAACAAACTTCATTGTATGCAGTAGCACCTCTGTAATAAGGAGATGTATTCATTCTGCTATTTTTAGGGTAAATATAAGGAAATCTTCATCACCTTTGTAGGATTTAAAGTCTTGGAATTAAATGCAAGATTCTGTAACATATTTTTTATTGGACACGCCTCTTACTTAAAATGCTTGCTTAATGTTTATAGAAATAAATTGTTACATAATGTTAATTTAAAAGTAAAATATTTTCAAAAGTTTTGTTTCATTTAGATCTGAATATATTTTTGCAAAAACTAAATTTTCATTCTTTGTATTTCGAAAAAGATGCTGACATCCAACTGCAGCTATACTTACTTTGATTTTCTAAGCCTGCCCACTAAAACAATTTGGATCAGGTTGCACGGACACATTTTGAGTATTATTTACTGATATGTGATGGTGCACATTTCTGCAACCTGTAAAATATATGTGTAATTCTTCTTTTCTTAATTATTTGTATATAATATTATGTATTATGTATCCCCATGGTGATCCTGGAAATGGCCTCTGGTCAGCAAAGTACAGATACCTTTTTGTTCAAACAGTTTCATAAATTAGTTTAGATATATTTTTAGCTAAATGGCAGTATCTGCTAAATTGACATGTCTTTTAAATGTCCAGTAGGTTGAATATTTAATAAAGAAAAATTTGCCAGTAATAAAAATTTGATGCAATAATATCCATTTCAGTTAATGGATAAATATCATCAGTACTTAAGATTGTTGCTAGTGGAGAAAATCCTTTTTGGAATATTGCACCATTTGCAATTAATATGTTAATTTTGCTGATTGAAATGCAGAAATGGAAGGTTTATTTAACAGAATAAATATAATCAAATCAAAACTCTGAAATAAAATGCTACTCCCTATGTTTCAAGATGCACTATTTGTAAAATATAACCTAAAAAGGGAAAGAAATTAGCTCAAAATCAAGCTTGTACTACCAATTTTAGATTTGTTGGTAGCAAATTCTCCACTTTGTTTACTTTCAAAACATATTTTTTGCTGTTAAAGTGCATGAATAGTTATAAATTTTTAAAACATATTGACAAAAGTGAAAAAATTAATACACCTGATTATATTAAAAAATACACATCAGGACTTGCAAAATGTAACACGCAATATTATATTAATTAATAATAATATTTTTAGCACCATCGAATTGATCCAAGTTGTTTAGTGGGTGCAGTTAGAAAATAAAAGTAATTCTAGCTGGAGTTGGATGTCAGTACCATTTTCGAAGTACGAAGAGTGAAAATATATTGTTTGCAAAAACTAATTCAATTCTGAACAACAATAATAAAAAAAAGACTTAATTAATATTATACATCAGTTTGTTTCTCTAAACTTTAACCTTTCTAGGTAATGTTTTAAGAGAGAGGCATGGTAAATAAAAATGATGTTACAGAATGGAGTATTTAATTCCAAGATTTTTAGTCCCACAAAGATGAGACAATTTGCTTATCCTTAGCTTAAAAATAGTGGAATGAAGCATTGCTCTATTACAGTGGTTAAGAAAACAGAACAAGAAACAGCAAAGTGTGTTAATAGGTGGAACCTAATACATCAGCTCTAGGATATATATATATCCTAGAGTTGATGAATGATTTTATATATCAAAATCATTTCCTGATTCCAACACTTTAATGGAGTTGCTAATTTTTGTCTTAAAGACAGCAGAATGAACTGTCTTGTGACAATGTGGTGACAAGAAAATCTAACCTAAAATGCAATTTTCATTTGAGAAAATGGGTTATGGGTTAATTAAAACAGACACTCTACTTCATGACAGGGAAAGAAAATTTCAGTAGTGGGAGGAGAGAAACGATTTTATATGGAAAAGAATTGTAGCGTGCGAGGGAAAAAATAATGAAATGTGAAAAGCTTAGATAACAAACATTTGAAAGCATTTTGATTAAATTAATGTCATTAAGTAAACAAGAAAAATTATTGATAATGTGAAAGTGTTCAAAAGAATTCAGTTGATTGAATGAAGAAGCTTTACAAATAATTATTGCACATCGAAAATAAAAATGAAATTAGTGACCTATTATAACTACCTACCAAAATTTCCTTATTCCTTTTAAACAAACAATTCACATTCCTTGACAAGAAATTTAAGACCTTTTACAATTTGGCTGCTATGATATATATTAAACTATGCTAAATTCCACGAGAATAAAAAGCACATTGAAGAATCGAAAAATGTGTTTTACTGATAGGTGAAAAAATGCCTTAAATATTGAGAGAATCAGCAGGAACTTTATAACTGATAGTAAGTTAAAATAATTATTGGGTATGTGTCGGCTGAATGTCCTGTTGGCTAAGTGTTCATGTCAACTAAATGTCTTGTCAGGTAAATGTCCGTGATGGCTTTTTCCTGTCAGAGAACTGCTATCAGTTAAGTGTCCATGTCAGCTAAATGACCTGTCAGCTAACAGCTGTCGGTGTCCACAACTGGTCAGAATTGTCAATCCTCTCACCCAAAACTGTGGATTTTCTGAAATCCCCCTCTTTCAAAAAAATTTATATGATTCTATACAGCCTCCGACACTTTTTACCCAGACTCCTCTCAATATACAGTTTTGAACACAGTTCAAAAATCACATTTATGTACTTGCTTAGAGATATTCAGAAAAATACAGTAGAATGTATATACAGTACAAAGTCTGCAATCCGGACTCGTCGGGACTTCGGCGATTCCGGATTATAGATTATCAATTTAAATCTGGTAAGATGGCATGCAGAAATTATACAATTAAAAACATGAAACCGTAATTTATGTAATAAAGAGCAATTATGATCTAAAGGGTAACAAAATTTACAAAAAAAAAAGCTTAATATTTTATTTGTTTACCTTATTAAACATTTCTTTCAATGTAAGTTGTTTCAGTTGCTTTGTTTTTTTGTGCTAATACTTTCTCTTTAATTCTATAAACAGACATAATTTCTTGTTCAGTTACAAAGTTCCACTGTTCAAGGTTCTGTAATTGCTCTGTCAAGAATATCAACTAACTTGTCAATCGAAATTTTTTTGTTTTCAATAACCTCTCCTTCACTTTCTATCGAAAGCGTGCATGGGTAAACGCTTTACGCACATGTGTAGCGGATGCGCGCATTAAACACGCATGCATAAGCTTGTGGCTTTGAGGTCCGGATTATAGATCATTCCGGATAATGGACATCCGAATTACAGACTTTGTACTGTATGCTGCTTGCACTACTAGAAAGTTAAAACATATTAAAACAGTTAATAAAATCATAATTTTTAAAATTACCTATAATAACAATATCGTATATTAGTAGATGCTAAAAAATATTCAAATGAATCATTCTCATCAAGATGCTGCTTTCCATGCAGTGCCTGAGCTTTCTTCAAGCGTTTTCTCTTTTTTTTATTCCTATAACATAAAATTCAAAAGCATAAACATCATTTTCATAAAAAAAACTCTGGAGTTAATAAATAACACTGAACAAAAATATTTAACTTATTTTTACTTCAAAGATGGGTTCCTAAATTATATCACTTTCACAATATCAAATAAAAATGAACATAAATATTTAACATAGTTATACTCCAAAATCTGAAATATAAAGTTCAATAATTTATAACATGTGTAAAAATATAGAGTTTAAGAATTATAAAAAATCTCAAGATTTAACAAAATTTTCCCATCACCGCAAATATCATCTGCGCAAACAGTTCATGTTGGCTTGTTTAATCTTATTTTGCCAAATGCAAACATGAATACACATATACATGCATACATCTCTGAATATCTTCATGATAACAGAAAAGTAACCAAAATTCTTAGAAAAGTTGCAGCTAGTTCGCAGTTACCAAAAATGATTGTTTTTATATTATTTTACCCATTAACACTACATCTGCAAAATGAGAAATGATGAAATATATGAGTAGAAAAAAATTGCATACATATTTTTTAATTTTTCAACAAATCACAAAATCTTTAAAAATTATGCAAATCATATTATATTTTTATGTTTTATATATATAAAAACTAATTTAAAATTAGAAAATTTATAAAATACATACGTAGAAAATCCCAGATCTTTCTTATAACACCACAAGACAGTTGATGCCCTAGCTCTTACTTCAGCTTTAGAAAGCATTTCATGTAATATGATAACCTATATGAAAACAAAAATATACATTTCACACTAAATTACATACAAGAAGAGATTTTAAAAGATAACTACAAATTTCATATGATCTTCTAACTGATGTTTTCAATACTTAAAGATGACAAAATAATAGAATGGTAGAAATATTTTTATAAAAAAAATATTCAAATATATTAATACATTAAGTGCTTGTTAACATGAATTTCAAGACACTGAAAAATCTAAAGTTCATGTAAAAAAAAATTTGTGTTAACTGGGAACTAAAATTTTATTTTTGGAATAATTTTTTGGTGCTTACGTATTAACACTATCCCGTTGGCACAATATCATGATTTTTTATATATAAAATGCTAAAAGCTACTTATAAGGTGCAAGCTGGTGGTTTTTGTAACTTTTTTTTTAAAAGATTCCCAAACTACTGATATTGGTAAAGAATATCAATATATGAAAGGAAAACATGCTCTAGCAATTTAAAATAGAATTTCAAATTATTAAATAAGGACTACACGATACATTTAAAAAATAAAACATATTTTTCTTCGTATCTTTCTGAATTTTTTTTTTTTTTTTTTTTTTTTTTTTTTAATTCTTCCCCAAAGTACACAGTGATATGTTTCTGCTTACAAAAAAATCACAGAATTGTGGAGACTTGGGTTCATGCAACCCTTGGTAACAGCAACTATCTAGGAAACACATTTTCTCTTTGTTCTCCATTGAAAATTTTTATCAAAATCCTGTAAACTAAGTTTAAGGGAAAAATATGATGATCTGCATACAAAAAACATTTCAACTTGGAATACAATTAAAAAGAACGCATAAGAAAATGGTGGCACTGAAATGACTATTATGAGCAGTTATTTATTATGTTGCCACAGTCTGGCAAATTTTGAAAATTTGGCAATTTCCACTGGGTGCATTAATACGTAAAATCCCACAAACTCGACTCCCGATATCTTCACATTTCTTATAACTCTACCACTTTTTAGGAACTCTTTTAAGATATCTCTAGACCAAACAGAAAAAATATTACATATTCCTGTTTTGTTCAAAGATTTGAGTGTTCTTTTTCTGTAATTTTCTTAATTTCATAAAAGCAGAGAAGAAACAGAAAATTGTGAAATATTTGACTTATTAAGAAATTTCCAAGCTGCGAAGAAGTTACTGATGGTGACATTGAAGAATGGATGGGACAAGATGAAAATTGTGAAATTTAGGACATGCAGAAATAGTTGCACTGGTGAAAGACAACGTAAATAAAAATGAATCAGAAAACGAAGTGATTGAAGACAATGGAAAAGCTAAAATGATGAAGCCCATAATGAAGAACTGAAGGCCACTGAAGAAATGCTCCATTGTATGGAGGAGCAAGGTACATCTAGTATGGACATTTTGTTCCTCTGTCGCCTATGAGATAAATCTACACGACGACGGAATGAGTGTGAGTAACAATCTACCATCACACGATATTTTTCTACCAAGAACTACAAATGGTTTTTCTTCATTTTTGTACGTAAGTTTTCTTACTCAATTACCTTACATTATTTGTTCTTTTTATGACTCCTATTGTGATAGAACTTGACATAAAAAAATCAACATTAATTTAATTGTATGCTCTACTTTTTCATGTCCAGTATTGTGCTAAAAATGTCTAGAGTAAATTACAGTTAAATATTAAATGAGTTCTGAAAAACCTCATTCTGTAAAACTCGACTTTTCAGAAATTCGAGAGTATCTCGGTTCATAACAAGTCAAGTTTGCAGGACTCTACAGTACCATTTATTCTACTCATTAACCATCTACAGTATATAATTACATAAATATTATATATTAAGCATGTCATCATAGAAAACTTTACAGTGCTACATAAATTAGTGTACTAAATTGGAGAAAAGGCATTCATGGATCATTTTGTAATGAAACATTCCTACTTATTGCGTTGTCACAGATGGGAATGAAAACTTCTTGTAATTTCATGGCCAACTGAGCTTATGGCTTCTGCAAAACTAGCTGTCAATTTGGATGTTAGAACAAAATGTTCTGCAGTATTTGTGTTACATTTCCTGGTGGGAAGAATGATGTTGTCCTTCTCACTTTCCTTTGCACCTCACTGATATTTCTTGCATCTCAGACACAACTGCTTATCTTCAGATTCCACTGAAGTACATAAGGCAATGTCGTTAACTGCACTAACAAACTCCTCAAAATTAATACCAGGGTTTGCAACATCTAGTAGACTATTCCATTCATCAGGTGAAGTGATATTGTTGTCACCATCTAACTCGTCAACAGGATTAACATCTTTATGTCTTCACGCATAACACATATTTTCAGGCTACCACAATAGGTTTTATTGCATCAAACACACTCCAAATTGGTGTTTCTTTTTTCTTTCCAGCAGTGCCAAGTGCAGCTCTCGCAAGTTACTTGCGATAAGATTTCTTGGGTAGAGTAGACTTTAAGGTACCCCTTGTATTATGGCGAAGTTGTTGTTTGATTTATCGCCAAGTTGTTGTTTCATTTATGGTAGCCTGAGTAGTTGAATGTTATGGAAACCCTATTGTGACATAATCGGGTGCATGATTCTGGGAAATTTTGAATCATGGGATGTTTTGTAAGCGTTTTTGTGGTGTTGTGGTGTGTGTTGGTTTGATTCTTTAGACAGTAGAATTACCGAATGTAGTAAGATTAATTTGAAGTTTCTGTACAATTTGGAGCGAAAGGGGAAAAGAGCTTTACTTGACTGGTGTATAAATGAAGGTTTACTTAGTAGCTATTATAAATGTCCTGTATGTAGGAAGGATATGCCTCTAGTCGAACGTAAAAACCGTTTAGATGAATTTGAATGGGTTTGTAGGAAGAAAGGATAAGATGGTCACTATGTGAAGCATTCGATCAGAAAGAGAACCTGGTTTGAAAAAAGTCATTTGAATATGATTGATATTTTAATTTTTACGTGGCTTTGGTTGTACGAAGCAAACTCAAAAATCATGGTAAGTGAATATTTGCTTTTGGTAGTGCTTAAATGTATAACATGTTTTTCCTTTTTTATGTTATTTTATTGTTTGGTTTAAAATTTATTTTATTGAGATTATGTACTTTTTGTTTGCCTATATTGTAGAATTTGGTGCTCCTTAGACTTTTTAAGTGAAAATATATCGATGTGTACATGGACAAAGTAAAGGGAGTGCACAATGCAAGTTTGTGCAATTCTGGGATTTTTTTTCAAGTGAAAATAGGTCAACGTGTACATGGATAAAGTTAAAAGAGGTAGCAATGCCATTTTTGTGCAATTTGGGAATTTTTTTTTTTTTTTAAGTGAAAATAAGTCGATGTGTACATGGATACCGAGTTTGTGCAATTGTTTGTCTTGTTATTTTGGCTTTGTATAGCAGAGATTTTTGTGCCAAAAATCGCCGCTTTGCTAGCCAAAATAACTAGTCAAAGAATTGCACAAAATCGGTATCCATGTATTGCAAATTTTGCCAAGGGGTACCCTAAACTATACTTTTTACCGATTTCTTCATAACTGCAATAATGCATTGGCAAGAAGTTATATCTTAATTCTTTTTAGAAGCTCACTAATTAGCTTTTGGTTCTTTTTAACTGCCTATAAGCAGAGATGCACATGATGCTGGAAAACAAGACATATTAAAAAAGGCTAAATCGCCAAGAGAGTTAAATGTGTAAATTGCAAAAAGGCAAATCAAGAGTTTATACAGTTAGAAACACATCACAGTAGTATGGATAACATTTGCACATGCAAACTAATAGAGTTCAAATTAATACAACAGAAAAAATATGAATAAGCTCAGAATAACCCAAATCAATCTAGAAATGTAAGTCTGCAACTTCAAAAAGACTTAGAAGAATTAAAGAAAATAAAAATAGCATGTGTTCAAGAATGATTCTTAATTAAAAATAAAAATCTGCAGGTTCCAGCTAAATTACAGGCTGCACTATAACCCAGTGGCCTAAAACCGGCATTAATAATTAAGGGCAAGGGTATTCTAACTCTTGAACTATGCACAACGATTGAAATAGTTGCAGTACAAATAGACAGACCTCCCCGTTCATTCTCATATACATTTACTGTTCCCTATCCCTACATAACGACACTGGAGATAGAAATATTAGAATCACAAGTAAATGGTATGGAGAGAATACACAGTAACATACTACATCGGAAGGGATACAGTGACGAAGTGGAGCAAAATTAGTCCAAATGGTGCAAGTTCGCACAAGAAGCAGCAATGTTATTACACATTTACATGGACCTACAGGAAATGCCAGTCAAACAAAATCAGAAACTGAACGCATTCAGAAGATCCTATTATAAGAATAATAACAAAATCAAATAATACATACAAGGTATTCAGCACCGATTTGATAGCATTAAAGATGCTAGATTTACTGATGGAAAAGAAAAAAGTGCTTTGATTGGAATATTGTTTTTGATAGGAACTCTAAGAAGCTCCAGAAAAAATGCTGCTCAGCTTTGGGATAACTGAAAAGGCAGTGGTATTGAGGCTTGTTACCTTTCAATGAATGAAAAAGGTTTCGCTTTTTTACTAAAATGTCTAAGATTTGATAATATAACAGACTGTATTGCAAGGAAGAAAACTGACAAACTTGCACCAATAAGGGAAATTTTGTAGCTGTTTCTGACAAATTTTCAAAACAACTTTATTGCGAGTGAATATCTTTCAATTGATGAACAACTTTTAGCATTCAAAGACACTATTATATATATCCCCAGTAACCAGCTAAAGTATGGACTAAAAATATTCGTGTTGGTTGATGCAAGACATGGAATCTTAAGACATACATAGCAAAACAACCCATAGGGCCATACAATTTCAAGAATACTGCCCAAGAAATTGTTCTCCGACTAGTCCAGCCAGTTGAAGGCACTGACCACAATATTACAACTGATAACTGATTTACACGTTTTCCACTAGCAGAAACCTTGAAAAAGGGGGAAAATAAAAATTAGTAGGTACCTTGAA